ACTTGAATGCAGCATACTTTAGTGACTATAATTTGGAAAATGTTCCAAATATTGTTACATTATAGAATGAGCTACAGAAACTGCATGAACCGTATGAAAAAGTTTATATTAAAAGTCAGATATTGATCAGTAGGTTCAGTTGGTGTTTAGAAATCATAGATTTTTGTTGTCTGATCTATTTATATTAACAACTGTAAATTCAATTATAATACCCATTTGCACACTCACAGCCTAATTTTTTGCAGAGAAATATAACTATTAACTTGGTTTAATGTGGAAAATTCATTAGGACGTGCTACAGGCTAAACTGTGAACACTCCCATGAAATTTATGTGTCAAAAACCCAGCCCCCAGTGCCTCACAATATGACTGCATTGAAAACAGGGTCTTTACAGAGGTAATTAAGTTAAAATGAGGCTAAAAGTCTGAGCCTTGTTCTAATATGAAAAGTGGATGTGAACACAGACACTTACTGAGGAAATACTGTGTGAAGATACAGAGAGAAGACAACCATCTACAAACCCGTGAGACAGGACTCAGAAGAAACCACCTCTATCATCTCCCTGATCTCAGACTTCTAGCCTCCAAAGGGGCCTTCACTTACTCCCGTCTCCATTGTCCGACTGCCTTTCTCCAATTATTGACTGTCTTAGCTTCCAATTCTTTACATGGACAGACTGGAAACAATGCCTTTACATATTCAACATCTTAAAAGAATATGCCTCTCTTTTCTTGTATGCATTATCAAACATTGTCTCCCCTGGCCGCACAACTTTTTTTTTTTTTTTTTGTATTTGTTATTGTGTTTAAAAAAAACCCTACATAACAAAATTTAAAGTCCCAACCATTTTTAAAAATTATTTATTCATTCATTTACTTTAATTTTACCAGAGAGAGACAGAGACGCAGAGAGAGAGAAAGAGGGAAAGTGAGAAGGCAAGTCACCAGGTCCAGGACTTGAACCGGGGTAGGCCACGTGGGAGTGTCCAGCACCTCAACCACCATGCCACCTGCTGGTCCCAGTCCCAACCATTTTTAAACATATAGGTCAATAGTGTTAAGTATATTCACATTGCATATACTCTGCATGTTGCAAAACAAAATGACATACTCTTTACAACATGAATTTTAGAAGGGATACATTCAAGAGCAGAGACGCTGATTTCAATTATTTTGGGTTCACACCAGGAAGCAAAATATTGGGAGCATATTCTCTTTTTGGTTTTCTGAGGAACTAGCATACAGTTTTCCATAGGGGCCATACCATTTTACAATCCCAGCAACAAGGTCCAAGGGTCTTAATTTCTCCAAATCCTCAACCTTTGTTATTTTGTTTTGTTTTTGTTTTGTTTGATAACAGTCACCCAGTAAGTATGAGGTAATATATTGTTGTGGTCTTAATTGCAACATGCCTACCATGACTGGTTCTGATAAGTGTTCCTTTTATTCAAATTAAATTTGTTCCCTTTTCATACGCTTTTATCTTTTTCTGGGTAGGTGGACAGATTGCACCAGGTAAAATGAACAGCTGTAATTAGTACTTCGGTGATGTGGTGGTAAGGTATGAGGAGACAGGAAGTATGACTAGGTCTCAGTTTTTTAGTAAGACCTCTGAACTATGACCTTCATAAGTGTTTCTCAATTCTTTTCTCTCCCCTCATGTGACAAGGTGGCTAGAGTGGGCTGAAGCTGAATATTTTCCCTTTTCATGCAGAAGACCTAGGCTGACTAGAATTGAGCATCCCCCCGCATCCAGATCAGCTTGGCTTTAATAACACCCCCAATAGGTTAGGTTCTGGTTTACAAGTTTCCTCTGAGAATAGACCTTGTTTCAAAAAAAAAAAAAAAAATTAAAAAAAAAAAAGTGTTCTGGCATATTTCAAAATGGTTCCCTTTTTTTCCATGTTATTAGAAGCACAAGGAGATCTTCATATTTCCTGTAAGAACCCAGTCAAGCTCCTGTAGGTAAATCTTAGAATTATGGAGGGACCAGCAGTTAGTGTATGGCTATGTCGTTGAATTCCCATGTAGCTGAACACGATTCGAGTCCTGGACCCGGTGGCTTAAACTCACAGTGGGAACGTCTGCGTGTGTGCCCAAGATCCCGAGAGGAGAGTGGAGGAGAAGGGATTGTGGTGTGGCCATCCCCCCGGGGGGTGATTTCTTGCTTTCTATCTCTCTGTCCCTCTCTGTCTTTCTGGCGAGCACATGCGCCCTATAGGAAAAAAAAAAAAAAAAAAAAAACAACTCAGAATTATGTGAGCCCCCTTATGACTGGATACTCTTAAGTTTGTAACTCTCAAAGTTGTCTAAATTAAGCCTTCATGGTGAGTTCTGCTCCTGAGTCTCTGCTCCTGCATACCATTCCTCCCAATATTTTCGTGTTGATCTTTCCAATTTTAGGCACAGCAACTTGACCTGTGTCCTCATCTTTCTTACATATCCTAGAGATGTTTTAGATTTTTTCAGACTGTTCATCTGTTTACTAGTTGTTAGGATGACATAGAAACTTCCAAATTCCTTTCATGTAGAACAGGAAAACAACTTTTGCTGTGGTTTTGATTTGAATATTTGTGGTGATTAGTGTGATATTACATATATATGCAATACCATTTTACAATTGTTGTAAACGGTATTACTCTTAAGTTGAGCAACTTTTCATTTGCTTATTGGAAATTTGAACATAATCTTTGGAAAAATATTATTCAAGTCATTTGCACATTTTCAAATCAAGTTATTTGAATTTTGTTGTTTGAGTTATAGGAATTTTTTGTTTGTTTTGAGAGGTTTTTGCTATAGGGCGCTTGTGCTCGCCAGAAAGACAGAGAGAGACAGGGAGATAAAAAGAAAAAAAATCATCCCCCCGGGGGGATGGCAATGCCACAAACCCTTCTCCTCCGTTCTCCTCTCAGGATCTTGGGCACACATGCACACGCACCCGGCATGAGTTTAAGCCTCCAGGTCTGGGACTCGAACTGCAGTCAGCTACATGGGAGTCCAGCGACATAGCCATTAAGCCAACTGCTGGTCCCAGAGTTATAGGAATTTTTTCTAGATAGTAACTCCTCATCAAATATTTGGCCTGTAAATATTTTATCCTATTACATAAGTTGCCTTTTCATTCCATTGATTTTCATATGTGGAACCATTCTTGTATTTCAATAAATCCCCTTTGCTTACAATATGTAATCCTTTCGATGTGGTATTGAATTTGGTTTGGTAGTATTTTCTTGAGGATTTTGCATTGATATTCATCAGAGGTATTGGCCTGTAGTTTTCTTTCCTTGTAGTGTCTTTGTCTGATTTGGTAGCAGGGTAATCCTAGCCCCAGAGAGTGAACTTGAAAGTGTTCTCTCCTCATCTATATTTTGGAAGATTTCAGGAATCTTAGTGTTAATTCTCCTTTAGCTGTTTGGTAGAATCCTCCAGTGAAGACATCTGGTCTGGGATGTTTCTTGTTAGAAAGGTTTTCGATTGCTGATAGAATCTCCCTACCCACCGTTGTTTTAATTTTAAGTGTGGCTCATGAAGTGTGGCTCATTGTCATACCCAGAATAATTTTTAGCATAAGGGAGCTATGTGGCAGAAATCACCATTACTCACTTATTTTCAGGTAGTTGTTGTATATACTGAAGTTTGAGATCACTATATGTATTGAAGTTTGTTAAAAGAAAACTTTTAGACAAATTTAATTAACAGAGTTTAATTGAACAAAAATGAATCTTGAATCCAGCAGCTTCTAGAAGGGCTTCCAAAGAACTCCAAAATGCAACCTGATCCAATCATTTATGGACTGGAGAAGGAAAGTGATGGAAGAATGGGAGTGAGAGAAATGAGGCCCAGAAGCAGCTCTTCTGGTTAGAGCTTGGTGCTTGCCTGTGTGAGCACAGTGTAAAGGGCAGGTTGTCTGTGGTTGACTGAAGCATGGCTGCTGTGATTGGCTGTGACTCTCCAATCTGTTAAGGAAGCCGAGGTTGTGGCTTGTTTACAAGAACTCAAATGGGAGCCCAGAGGCCTTCTCCGGTCAATATAGTTTAACAAGCACACACACACGTGTGCACAGGCACACACAAACGCTTGAGACTAGCTCCATAAAGTATACAGTTATTCTATAGAGATGGCCTAGATCACCCCTTCATACTTCTGGCAGAGTGTATGCACCCTAAAATTTTAGATAAGGTATATGGCAGAACCAAATATCCTAGCACCAATAAAAACTATTATGAGAGATCTTCCAAAAGTTCATAAGAATACATATTGTGACAAAACTGTGCTTTCATTTCAAAGTTTTTTGCACCAAAATAAATCACACCTTTTAAATTATTATATCATTATTTCTCTTTTTTTTTCTAATCTTCAAGTGGTATATGTACTCACCAGGAAGGGACACAGAGAGAGAGAGACAGAGAAAAGGGAGAAAGCGCCCTTCTCCATTTCTCCATGTTTTTGGCATTTGGGGCATTTATGCACATGCACCCAGAGTGTTTTTTACGTTACTGGGAACAGGACAGGCTCATCATTATGCACCCATCTTACAATTTCTTTGGAGCATAGATATTTTAGGAAGAAATAACTTTAGAATAACATCATAGACTCTCTTCCTTTAACTTTTATGTTCCCAACATTGCATTAAATATTATTTATCTTACTTAACTGAGTTTTTGTGGACCCTCTTAAATTTGAACCCTAGGCAAGTGCCTTATTTACCTTACCTTGGTCCTGGCCCTGACAGAGGAAACACAAAAGGGATGGTTAGAGGAACAAGGACAAATAAGCCTTCTCAGAATTTTGTACACAGTAGGTCAATTAATTCATAACAGCAGATATCACGTATCAATTTTAGGCACAGGGTCAAAATGCATTCATAATATCATTACCTATCTGATAATGATAGGTACAAAGTGAATGTCTCAATAACTTACGTAGAAAAGTCACAAACAACTGCAAGTGTGGGTGGGTGGGGACCCAGAGACAACACAGCATTTCAGAAGGGACACTTCCTCTGCTGACCTTGCCTTTTACCACTGGGGCTTTGTCCTTATACACGCGTTTAGTGCCTATTCTCCCACCTGCGATGGACAGACCAGTGATATATGCTGATTTAAACTTATTCAGGAACTCGGGCCCTGAAAGTTCTTCACCTCGTTCTCTTCCTCGGGGTAAGTAGCCTTAATTTTTCTTTTGGAATTGAATATCTTCAAATTACATTTACTTTAAACTTTCTGGCTTTAAATCATTGCTTTATAGGTAACAGTACTTCTATATTAGTGTCACATAGTGTAGGATACCTTTCCTACAGATGCTTACAACTTTGATTGAAGGAAAAAAAAACTCACAAATTTCCTTTCCTTTTTTTAAATTTTTTTAATCAAGATGGCATAAAATGTGAAGATCGTGTCTGTGTCTGACCCTTGGTTAAAAGACCCTTAAGAAACAACATTTTACACACATGAACAAAGAGATATTTTAAGAGATATGTTGCAAATTCGTTGTAATAACAACTTTGCTTTTTCCATAGTCCTCTGCCGAATGTGAGTACAATCATTAAATTTCAGTACCTTTGTGTCCGTAGCATTCCTTTCAGAATATAAAGTGTAGGCTTAATGATTAAGAGGGAGAATATCATATTCAGGGTCAAAGACTTGAATAGAATTACACATGATAGTTTCTAATCTGGAAAGTGGCACAGCATAGAAGGAAATAAACCACAAGGTGTAGGAGTATATGGGCAATGATTCTACTTCGTAATAATAATAATAATAATAATAATAATAATAATATAGAGCCACTCTTCAATAACAATGTGCAATAATATTGGTTTAAACCAATAGTATGCTGTTTAATATTTATTTATTTTGTTTTGCCAGAGGGTCCATGTACTTGCTAGAGACAGACATGTTAAGGGTTGATTGAGAAAGTACCTTCCATGGGGGACGGTCATGCTGTGATCCCTTCTCTTCAGCTTCATCCTTGTTTCTGGATTTTGGGTACACGTGCACACATGCCTGGTGTGTTTTTCAAGCCCATGGGTCTGTGACTCAAACCATGTGTCACCTTATCGGATTCGACTGCCTGAACACCATGTCACAGACTGGCCTGGTAAATATTTAAAAAGAAAAAAAGAAAAAAGCCCTATTACGTGAATATTTACTGATTTTTCTCCTACAGTGGATGACTTTGGGCCACCAATAGAGGGTTACTGAATGCAGAGTTAGGAAGAGAAATCTGGTATTGATGGAACATTTAGCACATGTCAGACACTATGCCTGGAATTTTAGAAGAATCGTTTTACATGGTTCTCTTCAAAACCTTACAAAGTAGACATCATTCCACATTTTACGTGTGAGGAAATCTGTGGTTTATGAAGGTTGCACATATTGCCCAGATAACCTGTTCAAACTTAGAACTGCTGTATTTGAAAGACTATTCTTAATACTAGGCTTGAGTAATTAATAATAAAATGGCAATGATATGGAACTTTCTCTACTTTGGAAGCAAACTTGGAATTTCAAGGGAAAAAAAAGGTGAAAAAGAAGAGACAGAGGGTGAAATAATGTACCCCACTCTAACACAAGATTGACCTACTCTCACATCACACCAGCTCTCACTAAAAGTATAGGCCAATGGTGCCAAGCTTGGTGTCCTGTTCAGATGTTTTCCTGGGGAGATGGACTCTATGCCTACCTGATGGATCTATGCCTACCTCCCCCTTCCACTAACACTTTTCCTAAATAGTACATAATCCACTGCCTTATCTCTAATGCACCATCTGCTTTCTCCCCTAGTCATTTATCAACCACTTAACTATACTAAATTCTATCTTCTCAGAAAAGCTAACTGTCAGCATCCTAACAAAAGAGGCCATTTGTAGTTTTCAGTAAACTGGATTTTACATCTTAATCCTCAAGAGAAGTGTGGAAAAAATATTCTACAGTACATCCTGGAATATATAAGAATAAAAGACAATAAAGAAATATTGTACTATATCTAATGCTAATATCTGATGCTAATATTTTTCCATGTAACTCAAAGCTAATAATAATTTACACTGAGAAATATCAGAAAAAATTTAAATGAATAGGTAATATAAATGAATCAATAATCAATCAACTTCAAATAAGTTAGAAAATTTTTACATATGAAAGTCCTTGGAACTTAATACGATTTGTAGTAGGTTATAATTGTAATATATCTAACATGTTATACAGCAGGTGGGAGCAAAAATATCTTATTATTAAATCAGAGATAGAGGAGCTATCTTTGAGCAGAGAACAACTTTGCCATGGGTAATTTAATTTTGCAAGTATGTCTCCAGAAAATGTTATAAATGAGTCCCTCTGGCCTGCCTGTGGCCTGGTGGTTGAGGTAGCTGAATTCCACAGGGATGTCCATGCTATTCAAGTCCCAGACCTGGCAACTTGAGAAGCACACAGGGTGTGTGTGTGTGTGTGTGTGTGTGTGTGTGTATGCTCAAAATCCAAAAAGGAGAGAGATGTGGAGGAGAAGGGGTTGTAGTGTGAACATGCCCCATATGAGGTGCTTTCTAACTTTCCCTCTCTGCCTGTCTCTGGAGAGCACAAACACCCTCTGCATATTTTAAAATATATAAGTCCTTCATTGCTATTAATCCCTATTAAATCCATGTTTTTTTTTTTTTTTGGAGAGGTTTTTGCTATACGGTGCGTGCACTTGCCAGAGAGAGAGAGACATAGAGACAGAAAGCGAGAAATCACCCCCCAGGGGGGATGGTCACGCCGCAATCCCTTCTCCTCCATTCTCCTCTCGGGATCT